AAAGAAAAAATCAGGTCAAAATAACACAAATAAAAAGAAAAGAAAAAATCAGCTCAAAATAACACAATATTTATTTTTTTTTTTTTTTTGAAAGGTTAATAAGATTATATTGCATAAGTCAAGATTACAAAAGAGAGTAGTTAGCCCAGGCTAACTAGAACAAACAAAGCCCATGAACAAACAAGGCCCAAGTAAATGATAAACCTTAACCTTGCAACCAAAGGATAGAACAAGAAGCCCAAATGATGCCCAAGCCCCAATGGAGCAATAGAGTAACCGTTATCCAAGCTAGGATACAACACTAAGTAGTGGTAATAGGGAGATTTCCTTCTCCATGGTTAATGGCTATCAGGAGGTTCCGTCGGCGGACGAATGACAGAAGTAGGAAGTTCCCATTCTTCAATTATACGCCTGGAGCTTGGAGAATCTGCCAGTTTTGAGGACACGAGTTTCAGCCTAATCAAATCAATGGTCTGCTAGAGTATGGCATTTTGGGATAATGAAGACTTTTTAAACACCCTTCGGTTGCGCTCCATCCAGATGTTATACACAAGAGAGGCCAGTGCAAGTTTTGCAATGAAACTGTAGTGGACACCAAGGTTGGATTTCCAATGATGAGATGCCCATTGGATAAGGTTCTGCCACGATGATGGTTGGATTAGGAAACCACATTTCACTTGAATGAATAACCACAGTGGTCTTGTGAAGTCACACTTGAAGAATAAGTGGTCGTGAGTTTCTAAGTGGGAAGAGCCACATAAGGTACAGGTAGTGGCATTGATGTGTGATGTGCAGCTTCGATTTAGTGTAGGCAGCCTCTCTTGAATAGCAACCCATAGTGTGAATGAGTGCTTAGGGATGGAGTTTTTGGACCAGACCAGGTGAGACCATGGGATGCTTGTCAAGTGTTTGTTGAAATGGTTGAGTGTATGGCCAAATGAGAACTTTCCATTTGGTGATGGAGTCCATTTCAATTTGTCACAGTTGTGTGGACATGGCAAGGGGGTATTGTTGGCCTGAAGCAAATTTGGAATTAAATTTGTAACAGCAGGTGGGAACATCCAAGTGGAATTGATTATGAATGAGCTCAGTTTTGTTTTGGTGTCAAGGACAGTATCAATAATCTGTTGTGGAGTGAGAAGAAGATGGAGTGGACCAAGGCTGCACCAGTTGTCAAACCAGAAATTGGTGGATGATCCATTACCAATTTCAAGCTTAACAAGAGGCTTGATGGAAGACCTTAAGCTGAGAAGTCTCCTCCAATTCCAAGAGCACTGTCCAGGAGTATTGATTTCCCAGATACTCCTACTTTTGAGCAAGTAGATGTCAATCCATTTGACCCACAACATTTGCTTGGAGCTAATGATGTCCCAGAAATGCTTTATAACTGCAACCTCATTCCACAATGCAAGATTAGGAATGCCAAGACCTCCAGCCTTCTTAGGAAGACAGCAATGCTCCCAAACCACTTTGCGACCTGATTTCTTCAGAGAAGGACCAGACCATAGGAACGATCTGAATAAGGATTCCATTTCATGGATAATGGCCATTGGGAGGATGAATTTAGAGCTCCAATAAACTTGGGTTGAAAACAACACAGCCTTGATGAGCTGTAGTCTACCAGCAAAGGAGAGAGCTTTGTTAGACTAGTGAGTTATCCTAAGAGTAATTTTGTCAATTAGGGTTCTGCAGTCACTTGTTCTCAACATAGTTGTAATCAAGGGAACCCCAAGATATCTCATAGGAAGCAGCCCCTTCTCGAACCCAAGGTGTGACAAAATGCTGGCTTTTAGCTGTTTAGAAATCCCAGTGAAAAAGCATTAAATCTTGGAGAGGTTGATGTGAAGCCCCGCGAGAGAAGTGAATATATCAAGAGCATGCTTCAGGGTTTGAATGGATGGATGCTAGCATGGGAGAAGAGCATAAGATCATCTGCAAATATCAGGTGAGTGAGCTTCAGCTTTTTACATCTCCAATGAAACTTATATGGCATTTCAGCTGTGAACTTGTTCAAAATCAGTGAGAGGACCTACATCACAAGAACAAAAAGAAAGGGTGATAAGGGGTCTCCTTGTCTCAACCCCTTGACACTGTTAAAGAACCCATTGAATTCACCATTAATGGATAAGGTGAATGAAGGGGTGGTGACACAGGCCTGGATCCACTTGACAAAAGTTTCTGGATAACCCATCAATTTCATAGATTTGAGGAGAAAATCCCAAGACATTGAGTCAAATGCCTTCTTGAGGTCAATCTTGAGTGAACATCTAGGAGAATTGTTGTGCCTGTGGTAACCATTTAGGAGCTCCTGAGCAAGTAGGATGCTATCATCAATTTGCCTACCCTGAATAAAGGCTGATTGAGCTTAATCAATGGTTGAGGGTAGAGTTGGTTTGAGTTTGTTAGCAAGAAGCTTGGAGATGCACTTGTAAATGGTAGTGCAACAAGAGATTGGCCTAAACTCACTGATGGTGGAAGGGTTAGGAACTTTTGGGACAAGGGAGATATAGGTGGAATTTACCTCCCTAAGTAGCTTCCTAGTTGTGAAAAATTCTCTGACTGCCTTTGTGATATCCTGACCAATAATTGCCCAAGCTTTCTTGAAGAAATGTGCATTATAACCATCAAGCCCTGGAGCCTTATCACTACTAAGAGAGAACAAGCAAAGTTTAATTTCAGTGTCAGTAGGGATTGAGCATAATGATTCCATGAAGGAAACAGGTATAACAGGCTGAATGAGGGATTGCAGCTGCTTCAAGTCTTGGGGAGGATGGGGGTTCATCCCAAGGCAGAGATGAAAATAGGAGACAATTTCATTCTTAATGGCTGCTTCAGTCTCAAGTAGGGTGCCATTTGAGGAGGAAAGAGATGCAATTTTGTTTCTGTTGTTCCTGGATGCAATAGTTTTGTAGAAATAGGAGGTGTTTGAGTCCCCACATTTGAGCCATTGGATTCTTGATTTTTGCCTGCTGTTCTTCTCCTCAGCTAGCTTGAGTGATGTGTAGGAATGGAGGAGGTGCTTTTCTTGAGTCCTCAATGCCTGGTTGTCAGGAGCTGAGTCAAGAGCCAGTTGACAGGAAGAAAGAGAGGCTTTAACACTCTGTATTTCCTCAAGTGAACTCATATTTAATTTGGTAATGTCACATGAAGTCGAAAGATGGAGTGCAAAAGTTTGACTAATTCATTACTCTAAATAATTTTTAATATAAAATTTTGATCATATAATTATCACATGATACGTAGGCCCGTTTCAAAATTGATACTATTGTCTCATTTTAGTAGCTTTAAATGTCCCAAATTAATAGTCTATTTTGAAAAGTTAAAGTAAATAAATTTTATCTTTTTATTATTGTCCTTCATATTTTCAAAAAAATTTCAAACTTAGTAACCATACATATCTAAACTAAAAATAACAAGTTAACAATTTTAGAAGAAAAACAATACATTAATTGCATGTCTCTTTAAAAATTTTAAGTAACCTTCAAAACAAAAAAAAAAAAAAAAAAATGTATTATTTTATTTTACCCCTTTAAAACTTCTGCTACCAAGTAGCATAATAGAATAGTTAATCCTTAAGATATTGTACGCATTTGTTGACAAAATGGTGTACCACCATAATAGTATAATAGAATAGTTGATCATAAATCAATCACCACTAAAAGTTTCATACTACTACAATATAACAAGTGTATGAGTAAACGCCCTATAGTAAGTAGGTAGGCACCACAAAGAAAGTGATCAGTAGTTAGTTTCATCGATCTCATGGCTTCCGATGGCAAACTGCACGTAGTGTTGTTTCCATGGCTAGGGTTCGGTCACATGATACCATTCTTAGAGCTTGCCAAATCCATCGCCCGAAAGGGCCACAGAGTCTCATTTATCTCCACTCCAAGAAACATCCAACGCCTCCCCAAGCTGTCTCCAAACCTTGTCCCCCTCATCCACTTTATCAAACTCACCTTGCCAAAAGTCAACGGCCTGCCCCAGAACGCAGAAGCCACCATGGACGTTAGGGGCGACCAATTTCAGTACCTCAAGACCGCCTTCGACCGACTCGACACCGAGTTCGCTCAGTTCCTCCACATCTCACCGCCTCCCGATTAGATTATTCACGATTTTCTTCATTTTTGGTTGCCACCGCTTGCACGTAAATTTAACATCTCATGTGCCTTCTTCTCAATAATCAATGCATGGTTCATAGCTTTCTTAGGACCCACTTCGACCTCTATAGTCGTCTCTCATCCACGTACGGAGCCGGAGCACTTCACCGTCCCGCCAGAGTGGGTTCCGTTTCC